ATTTGTGAAACATCTCAGTTTTCTTTTTTTTTCCCTTCATGCAGTGGAAGTCATTGGTAACCAAAACAGCTTTGTTACCAACAGTCTTCAAAATACATTCTTTTATGTTCCACAAAAGAAAGTAAGTCATTCATGTTTGAGTAAATGATGACATAATTTACATTTTTGGGGGTGAACCATCCCTTTAAAGTTTTTCCCCCCTTTTTTTAATGAAATAATATTCTAAATAAGAAATTAAAACTGCCAGCTGGTGGCGGTAAATGTCTTTGAGTCAAAAATTCATTTGATTCGTTCAAATGGCTGATTAATTCAGGAATGAAGTAAATGGCTCTCTTTATGAATGGGCCTTTGAATCATTAATTCACCCGATTCGTTCAAAACGAGGATTCATTCAGAAACTAACCACTTTGTTGCTCGGAGACGCACAACAATTCTGCTGTGGCTTTAGAATTGATTAAACGGCTCACTTTATGTGAATAATTGATTCATCCAATTCGTTCAAAACGCGAAACTATGTTGCTCGGAGACGCGCAGCAATTCTGCTGTGGCTTTAGGTAATATTTTTGTTGGCAAAACTGAGCAAAAACAGACAATATTGTGTTTAAAACATAAAATATTAACTTCTTATTTACTGAACTGTTGTATAAAATCACATTTGCACTCGTGCTGGACAAAATCAGCACTCGTCTGATATTACTCTAGCTGCTGGTGTGATATCGCTTATCTTATGATATAAATATGAGACAAAAACTCATACAGGGGCATTTTTTGCACCAATATCTTGAATTTTAGGGCATAACTGCATTTATGGAGTTGTTGCCCCGCATCATATTTGTTAACAGTCAACTGTATGAAATGTAAGATGATGTAGACCTACAGGTCTGGGGGCGGGGCCAGTGCGTTAACTGATCGCGTTATCTTCCATAACTAATTAATTAAGTTGACGCGTTAAACTGACAGCCCTAATATACACACAATTGATCTATTTTGGCAATTTCACATTCCCCTGCAGTTCCTACATGAACCCCTAGGAGTTTGTAACTAATAGCATCACGTACACAATGTAAAATACAATATATACAAAATTGTAGAAAAAATATTTTAAATAAATATTTTTAATTATTTAAAATTATATTAAAAATTTTATTTATTTAAAATTTAAACTCAAGAAAGAAAATTACGATTGCTTGATTGAATCATCATGAGTTTTTATTTTATTTTATTGCTTTTATACCTGTCTTATTTATCTTTTTTTTTCTTTTTTTCGCTCTTGTACAGGACTATGCCGACACCGAAATGCTGCTCTCCAGGGCCAATGTTGACCAGAAGGCTCTGCTGTCCTACGCCAGAGAAGCAGCAGATTTCTCTACCAATCATCAGCTTCCTAAGCTGGACTTTGCCATCAACCATTACGGCCAGCCTGACGTCGCCATGTTTGACTTCACCTGTATGTACGCCTCAGAGAATGCAGCGCTCGTCCGCCAGCGCAACGCCCATAAGCTACTAGTAGCCCTGGTGGGGGACAGCCTTCTAGAGGTGAGTGGAAAACCGATGTGGAGGAGGGAAATAAGACTGTTCATGAAAGGGAGTTTGTTATTTGTTAAAACTTCCTTTAATAGAACCAGATGGTGTTTTTCCATGAAGTACCACAAAATTGGCTTTTGCTGTTCTCCAACATCTTCCTTCGACAAATTTCAACTTCTGAAAATACATTTTCTCACATAAATCTGAAACCACCACTTCAGAAGCTGTGGTAATGAAAGTATTAAGTTAAAACACCACACTCCGTTACACTAGCTAGCCCGCGACTGTGAGGGCAGTTTTTCCATCTTCTTCCAAACAGAAGGTGACTGATTTCTAATATGAAGTGTACAGCTGTTCATTCTCACTCTTAGTGTATTAGGAACAAGTTGACTGATGAATATGTATTGTGTGTGTGTGTGTGTGTGTGTGTGTGTGTGTGTGTGTATAGCCATTCTGGCCGATGGGCACTGGAATAGCAAGAGGCTTCTTGGCAGCCATGGATGCAGCGTGGATGGTGCGGAGTTGGGCTCATGGAAGCTCCCCTTTGGAGGTGCTTGCTGAACGGTAAGACATACTATGCACAGAATGGAATGCTGTTTGTTTTTTAAAATAGTGCATAAGACACAGTATGCAATAATAAGGCTTTCAGAAACATGGTGGTTGTTTTCACATGTGATATTGAACATATGATAATGGAAATAAATGCAATTGTTTTGCATTTTAATCTGATTTGTGTCTGAATATTTAAACTTTTGGCATACTGTAAAAATAATATGAGTAATATGATATTATTCCAAACACATCTAGAGTGATACAGAACTTATGATGAGGTTGACAGTGATTGTGTCTTCAAACTGAGCAGTAAACAGCTCAAGTCCCTGCTGGCCGTCATTTACTGTGGTGCTCGTTTTCTTCCTGCTCTGTTATTTTGCTGCATACTGCAGGGTAATTCACAGTGGTAAAGCACTTTTCAACTTGTATGCAATAAGCAGCGTGTTTGCGGGGAAGCAAAAGTGTTTTACGAGCAAGTAGCTTGCATGATGTCTCTAGGGTCTCATCTTGAGACATCACTAAAGGGATGAATGCCAAAATGAAGGGAATTTGGGTCTGAAAACAAGCACGGCTCCTTTGGGTTTCAGGGAAAGTATCTATCGACTGCTGCCTCAGACGACACCAGAGAATGTGAGCAAGAACTTTAGCCAGTACAGCGTGGACCCGACTACACGGTACCCCAACATCAGCCTTCACCAAGTGAGACCCAACCAGGTGGGTTTATGCACATCTGACCGGTCAGAAAACCCAGCTGCAAGTTTTGTCTAGATATTTTTGCTAAATATTTATTTGAGAAATGTAATAGCACTTAAATGAAATATATAGCAAATCTCTCTCTCTCTCTCTCTCTCTCGCTATTATACTGTACATTGTCATTTGTAATATCATGATCCCTAAATTCACTTTTAGTATTTAAAATTGATATAGCTTCAATGTTTTTTTTGTATTAATTAATCTAATTTTTATTTAGACAAAAGCATAGAATTTCAATATTGGCTATTTATCAGTTATTGGCTATAACAAAAACAAACAAACAAACAAACAAAAATATGCTTATTTGTCCTAATTTTACTAACTTTACTTACTATACTTATCTGCCCTAATTTTAATATTGGTGCATTCCAAAAAATAACCAGTAGACATTTTTTTACTATAATTTTCACTCTTTTTGTTTTTTGGCTTTTGAGTAAATAATCGGTAAATAAGGTAATTCGTTTTGTGCACATTTCATTTGCTGTCACTTTATGCACATATTGGCATTTTATCTGCCTTCTGCATGCTTTCTAGATATTGGTGATATTGGCTTTACAATATAATTGTCTGCAGGTACGGCATCTGTTAGACACCGGAGAAACCAGGGATTTGCGTGTCGACATGGAGAATGTGGTCAACTCATCAACTCCTAAACTCAAAAGAAATGGTTGGTAGATTTAGTATCGCATTATTATTATACATCAGCTGTGGATACATTAATTTTCCATATATTTATTTAATCTTTCCATACATTGTATAGTCTCAATTGTAAATGTGTATAATTTGATTTATTTTCATCCTAGAAATTCTGCTTGAGAAGCAATTGCAAGGTAATTTTGTGGGCGACTCTAATCCGAATGCATGATGTTCTACAGGCTTCTACGTTTCAGCTAGCTTTGTGCAGTTTGTTGTATGAGAAGAGTAACTGACATGGAATGGAAAGTTGTCTTTGAGCACTTTAGAATTAAATGCAACTATGCACTAACAAATATTTGTGGATTTTCACAAACTGAGAACTATTATCAATTCTGTCGGTGTCTTGAATGTTTCATAACCTCTCAAAAAGGAATGAAATGCACCATGAAAGTTCTTCAGACGCTGCTCTGGTCATGTGACTAACTCCGATCCGATTGGATGTTGGCACATTCCATTACTGAATATGCACATTCTTGCTTAGGCACCACTTGACATTGCTTTCCCCCATCAGAGTCCATCGTGCGCTCCAGTAAGCTGCTGAACTGGTGTCAAAGACAGACGGAGGGATACAGAGGTGTCAGCGTGTCTGATCTCACCATGTCCTGGAAGAGCGGCTTGGCCCTGTGCGCGCTCATCCACCGATACAGACCAGACCTCATGTAAGTGCAGTATGCCACATGCTGATCCCAACAAAAGCTCTGTGTTATTTGCGCTGCTATATTTAGAGATGCAGGACTGGAGCACAAACGCTGCCACAGAGAATCAGAGATTCAGTTCATGCAAAGAATAACAAAACTTGAATCGGAAAAGACGTGTAAGTCATATGCCCCACAGTGTGAGAAGACAGGAGATCAAGCAAAGTTAAGAAGAAAAATGTTTGACCTTTTAGAGAGTTTTTAGATTTTGGTGTATGATTATGAGCTTTGGACTAGAATCATAAAAGATGCATTCTGTACTGTAGTTTTTTCCATCATTAAAAAGGTTTTAGACAAAAATAACTGTATAATTTATAATACCTTGTGACAAATATGTTTAAAATGATGTATACTTATACCTTAGCCATCTTCAAGAATCGGCTAAAAGCACATCTCTTCCATCTTTATTTGACCCTCTAACTCTAGCATTCTGTAGTCTAATTCTATTCTTAATGGGGTCATATGATGCGATTTCAATTTTTCCTTTCTCTTTGGAGAGTTACAAGCTGCATAAAGAAGATCTGTAAAGTTGCAAAGACTAAAGTCTCAAATCCAAAGAGATATTCTTTATAAAAGTGACGAAGCGGAGTCCAGCCCGGGGTCGTCACATGTGGTTGCCGCAAGCCTCCTTCGTCGAATCCCCCGGCCGCGCCGTTCTCAAGCTCACCGGCCTCCGCTCACTCTAGCCCTCTGGCCGTTCCTCACTCTAGCCTGCCGAACCTTAAACCGCATAAACACATTTCATTACACCAAATACACAAAATAATGTTCTTTTTAGCAAAAATGACCCCTATGACCCCTTTAAAAAAAAAAAAAAAAAAAACTAACACTAGCTTCTCTATTCTTTTTGTATTCTATGTATTTGTTTTCTATCTATTTCTATCTGTTTTATTTGTATTTATTTTATAATAAAAAAAAGCCCTGCTGTTGCTATGTGTACTGCGTTAGGTTTAACTTAGACTTGTCATAGCACTTGCTTATCATTGCTCTTTTGTTGATTTTGATTGCTTCCATTATCCTAATTTGTAAGTCCCTTTGGATAAAAGCATCTGCTAAATGACTAAATGTAAATGTATACTCAAATATGATACACTACCATTCAAAGGTTTAGGGGCAATAATATATTTTTTTAAAGAAATGTATACTTTTTTCAGCAAGGACACATTAACTTGATTAGAAGTGACATTTATAACATTTATTCTATAATAGAAGACCGAAAACTAGACACAAAACAGAAGATCCGATGAGTCAAAGATTTAACAGCTTTGTAATTGATAGCACCTAAAAATGAAAATTCTGTCATCATTTACTAACCCTCATGTTATTCCAAACCTTCATGACTTACTTTCTTCTGTTGAACACAAAAGAAGTTATTTTGAGGAAGGTGGGTAATCAAAACAGTTTCTGGTCCTCATTGGCAGCCATAGTACTTTTTTCCCTACTATGGAAGTCAATGGGGACCAACAACTGTTTGGTTACTCACATTCTTTAAACTACCTTCTTTTATGTTCAAAAGAAGACAGAAGCTCATACAGTTTTGGAAAACTTGAATGTGAGTAAATAATGACAGAATTTTCATTTTTGTGTGAACTGTCCCTTTAAGCTGTGGAATATGAGTCAGCAAGAACATACGGAGTGCGCCTTCAAGTGATAATGCCATTGCTAATATTAAGTGTTTCTTCAGCTGTGGTAGTTAATTTGTCCTCACCTCATTACTTTTGATAAGATATTTATAGCTTTGTTTACAATATAGAGTTTATTTACTTGGCTTACTCATCTGTTGAGTACAGCACACTATAATAACAGTACGGCTGGGTAAGTTTCTGCTTTTCAAAAGGTCAGGAACTCGTGCTGTAGTTATTCTTACTCTGGGCTCTGTTGCATAGAACAGCTGAAAGCCCCATTAGCTTTTGAGACACACATTAACATTATCATAACTGTCCATTAGAGCAGATGCTGAGTGACCTTTAAAAGCTTTTGCTTATGAGTTGTTTGTCATGGTCAGCTAAACTAGTCTGCATTTGTGTTTGTAAGACAGCATTAGTGGAAGTCTCTGAGGAGGATACCACACGCCGACAATTGCCTTCTTCAGTAGCTCAATCCAGATACATGTGCAGTGTATTACTTCAGTTTCATATACATACTATAGGAAGTATATTTCTGATAATGCATATAAAATAGACTGTGTGAATTGACACAGTTGGCAAGTTAATTTTTAAGTAGCCATTTCTTCAGTCTTCAGAGTCACATGATGCTTCATAAATCACTCTAATATGCTGATTCAGTGCTCAAGAAACATTTCTTATTATCAATGTTGAAAATAGTTTTGCTGCTTAATATTTATGTTGGAACCACTATATATTAAATATTATATATAATATGTGCAATATACTATATAAAGTTTGTGATTTGTGTAAGAATAATTTGAGTGTGAAACATTTTAATAGAATGTCCAATTTTAAATGATATTAGACCACGTTTTTACTAAAAAAAAAAAAAATGAACTAAGACATTTTGAAAAAGGTTTCTTCCGGAAGAACTTAAGAATTATTATCATTGATTAAATTGAAAGATTCTGTATGATTTTTATCAGTACTATTATTGTTTTTTAAATAATGTTTGTATGTATGTTTAATGTATGTTTGATTGCTTCTTAAGAAAATGTTATATTATTGTAAATAATGTATTGAAATGATCCTGTTAATGTTGCTATAAATATAGCCATTGTTGCTGATATGGCGTTAAAACATAAATAAATACATAAATAAATTATATATTATATAAAGTCCATGATAACATTTATTTGAAATAGAAATCTTTTGTAACATTATAAATGTCTTTGATCAATTTAATGTCCTTGCTGAATAAAAGTATTAATAAAAAAAAAAACTGACCTGACACCAAACTTTGAATGATAGTCACTGTGATGTGGATATTTTCAAATAGATATTTTTTTAAACCAAGTAGTAGTTCTTTGCTAAAATATTTTCTTTTTGATGCTGAAACAGATTTACACTAACAGATTTGCATCCGTAAGGCAACCTTTAATGACGGTTCCCAGTTTGACACAATATGAGCAACACAGACTAACTTGGGAATGCAGCAAAATTCAACTTTAAAGTTTAATGCAATGCGGCGACCAGCAGTTTGAGTCCAGACAGTGAAGCTTGTGTGATCCACAGCCTTATGCAGTTGTATGCAGCAACCGAGTAATAACTGCTGCTAGCAACCAAACAAAACAACTTGAATCGCTGTCAGTGTGAACAGCCCTTGAAAATTCAGTTCAGCAGATGTTCTTGTGAAGATGTATTAAACTGCTTTCTAGATCATGCTCTTTTTACAGTATCATTGATGCATGTGGGTTATCTGGCGTCAGTGTTTTTAAATCTTTTCTAACTTGCTAAATAACATGATTATGGGATATGGAGATGTCTCATGTTGCGATGTCTTGTAACTACAGTGACTTTGACTCGTTGGATGAGAAAGACATGGAGAAGAACAACCAGTTGGGTTTTGACGTGGCCGAAAAAGAGTTTGGGATTTCTCCCATCATGACCGGGAAGGAGATGTCAGTTGTGGTGGAGCCTGACAAGCTCTCCATGGTGATGTACCTCAGCCAGTTCAACGAGATGTTCAAGGACACTGTGCCACCTGGTGGTGAGTTGTAGATCTACAATAATGCATCCAGAGAAACTTGCAAAACCACAAAGGAATGTTAGGCATTAGGAGTGTTTATGCTATTTCTTAGCATGCAGTTCATTCATCGATTTTAGTCATTATTATTCATATTTTTGTGTTTCAGAAAACCACAATCTGAGCCCTGAGGAGAAGGCTGCGTTGATTGCCAGCACTAAGTCACCCATCTCGTTCCTCAGTAAACTGGGTCAAAGCATCGCTATCTCCCGCAAACGAAACCCCAAGGTAGTCCAGTTTCTTTTTGATACTGCAAAATGAGTGATTCTTGCGATCTCAACTTTTCCTCTCAAACCCTGTGTAGGATAAAAAAGAAAAGGAACTGGATGGTCTGGGGAAAAGACGAAAGACCAGCCAGGCTGGACAATCAGAGGATGTAAGGCCATATCTTGCTGGATCATTGGATGTACAACATTGTGTACAGTTAGGTCCATATATATTTGGACACTGACACAATTTTCATAATTTCGCCTCTGTATGCCACCAGAACAGAATTAAAAATAAAACAATCAAGATGAATTCGAAGAGCAGACTTTAAGCTTTAATTCAAGGGGTTGAACAAAAAATATAACATAAAATGCTTAGGAATTACAACCATTTTTTTACACAGTCCCCCCATTTTCAGGGGCTCAAATGTAATTGGACAAATAAATATAATCATAAATAAAATGTTCATTTTTAATATTTTGTTGAGAATCCTTTGCAGGCAATGACTGCCTTAAGTCTGGAACTCATGGACATCACCAGAGACTGGGTTTCCTCCTTTGTGAAGCTTTGCCAGGCCTTCACTGCAGCTGACTTCAGTTGTTTTTTGTTTGTGGGTCTTTCTGCCTGACTTCAGTTATTGTCTGTTTGTGGGTCTTTCTGCCTTTAGTTTTGTTTTCAGCAAGTGAAATGCATGCTCAGTCGGGTTAAAATCAGGAGATTGACTTGGCCATTGCAGAATATTCCACTTTTTTAACTTCAAAAACTTGGGTTGCTTTCGCTGTATGTTTAGGGTCCTTGTCCTTTTGTACTATGAAGCGCCGCCCAATCAACTTTGCTGCATTTGACTAAATCTGGGCAGAGAGTATATGTCCCTATACACTTAAGAATTCATCCGGCTGCTTCTGTCCTCTGTCACATCATCACTAAACACCAGTAACCCAGTGCCACTGGAAGCCATGCATGCTCATGCCATCACACTGCTCCACCATGTTTCACAGATGATGTTGTATGCTTTGGATCATGAGCTGTTCCAAGCCTTCTCCATACTTTTTTCTTCCTGTCATTCTGGTACAGGTTGATCTTAATTTTAGCTGTCCAAAGAATGCTTTTCCAGAAGTGGTCTGGCTTTTTTAGATGTTTTTGACAAAGTCTAATCTGGCCTTGTTTGCTCCTTGTGATGAACCCTTTGTATTTGCTCTCGTGAAGTCTTCTCTTGATTGTAGACATTGACAGTGACATGTCTACCTCCTGGAGAGTGTCCTTCACTTGGCTGGATGTTGTGAAAGGGTTTTTCTTTACCATGTTCTCCGTGGACATCCAGGCCTTTTTATGTTGCTGAGCTTCTTTTTTTCTCAGAATGTACCAAACTGTTGATTTGGCCACACCGAATGTTGCATCAGAATCTCTCTGATGATGGATTTGTTTTGTTTTTGAAGCCTAACAATTGTCTATTTCCCTTGTATGGAGACATCCTTTGACAGCATGATGTGGGTTCAGAGCAACAGCTTCCAAATGCAAATAGCACACTTTTAGAATCAACTCCAGAACTTTTACCTGCTTAATTGATATAGAAATAATTAAAGAATAGCCCACATCTGTCCATGAAACAGCTTTTGAGTCAGTTGTCCAATTACTTATGGTCCCTTGAAAAAGGGGGGAGGTACATATTAAAGAGCTGTAATTCCTTAACCTTTCCTCCAATTTTGATGAGTTGAATACCCTCAAATTAAAGCTCAGAGTGTGCACTTTAAGCCCATATTCATATAACTGTAACTTGAATATGTTTTGGTCAGCAGCTAAAATAATAAAAATTGTGCCTGTGTCCAAATATATATGGACATAACTGTATGTACTTGTTAAATCCTTTCATTCCTGTTCTCCAACATCACAGGAAGAGTTGCAGAGGGTTAATCGAGACGACAGGCCTTCTATAGCTACTGCTCTGGCAGAACGTAAAATTGACTCGGCTGCAGCAGCGAGCAACAACAACAAAGTGAAGTCGATGGCCACACAGCTGTTAGCGAAGTTTGAGGAGAACGCCCCAACGCAGTCCACCGGTCTCAAGCGACAGGTTGGTTAGAATTTGTGTTTTTGCATGGTAGCTGCCTAAAATGACTATGGACGTTCATTTGTGAATTCTTAAAATAACAAGTGGTAATAAAACATCATCTTCAGCAACAGGCTAAACTGCTTTGTTGGAGCAAAATTTGCAACAAAATGTTTGTTGTTCTGCAGGAATGTCTGGCTGACTGTACCAGTACTATTTTGTTATTATTTACATGCTATTATAGTATTTATTAATATTTCGAGTTAGCTTTATTTTTTATATTTTCAGTTTTCATTTTAGTTTGATATTATGTGTTGTCATTTTTATTACTTTTTCTATTTTACTTTATTTTTACTTCTGTAATTTTAGTATTTACATTTATTTTTTATTTTTTATTTTTAAGTTTTAGTTAACAATAACACTAGACTGTATATTATCCCTTCAATCTGTAGGAACTGTTTCATTTTAAACTTAAGTTAAAAATGAACCTTTACTTACCAGGAAATAGGCAAAATACTACATGAAAATGACAACTGATTTAAGGCGGGCAGTGTTAGAATATCACGTTGTGAATCAGCATTATTTTTTATTTTTTTTGCAATGCTATTTATTTATGTGGGAAGCATAAAAGCTCATGTGGTTATAAAGCCCAGGTTTGTTAAACCAAGCGAGACGAATCCTGTCCTAAACTGCTGTTACTTGATGTTTGAAGTGCACAGCATGCTGGGATTGTTTGAAATGATCAGGTTTATAGAGGAAAATTGACTTCGATTCATGCTGTGGTCCATTCTAATGGAGTAGCCAGCAGGAATGACTGGCATGAGCGAGGATTTGGGAGCTTTTTGTAGGAAGCTAAACCCTTTGTGCTGTGCAGCAGTGTGAGGCTGATGAGTTTGACACTGTTATCTACTGGAGCCATGCAAGATAAAAGGTTATTTGTATACTACCGTTCAAAAGCTTGGGGTCAGTAAGAATGTTTTTTAAAAAATGAATGCATTTATTCAGAAAGAATGCAATAAATCAATCAAAAATGACAGTAAAGTCTTTTGTAAAATTACAAAAGATTTCTTTTTCAAATAAATGATCTTCTTTTTAACTTTCTATTCATATAATAATTATGAATAGAATGTGTCTTGGTTTTCACAAAAATATTAAGTGGCCCAACTTAAGCAGTTTTCAACTGTGATGATAATAGGAAATGCTTCCTGGAGACTGAAGTAATGGCTGCTGGAAATTCAGTGTTGCCATCCCATTAAATATATTTTGTAATAAAATGTAACTATATTTCTCTTTTACTGCATAAATGCAGCCTTGGTGAGCATAAAAGACTTCAAAAACAATAAAAAATCTTACTGACCCCAAGCTTTTAAACGGTAGTGTTTTTCTCAGGTGTCTGTGGTCTGGCTCATGCATGGACTGACTCATTTGGATGTCTGCTCATTCATCTGTTTCCTTCTACTTCCTGCATGAATTTGTTTTAAACTCAGTACCTGATCACATGTTTTTAATAGTAGTTATTTATTCATGCATTGCAATGCACATTGCAGGTGTTTTTTCTGCAGTCAGTTCAGTCATTCACTTTCAGTTTCTCTCTGCATGCCTATCCTTATTTCTCATTTCTGTTCTTTTCCATTCTCTTTCTCACTCCAATGGATGTTAATGGCTTTGGCACTTCCTCACTTTTCCATCGGTCACTTCACTGGTTACAGGGGGACTCCATGCCCGATTTCGGGCTCATACTGACCCCCTCTCCGGCCACTCCCTCTCTGAAAGAGTCAGTGCGGTTGGCTCCAGTCCCTGCATGGAGGAAGGTAAAGAGTGTAGTACAATCCCATGTTCCCAGATTCCCATCAACCGTTAACACTCTAAGTACCTACTTTACCTCTCTACTCATCCATAATTGTTATTGTCTTTGTGACTAAATGAACTGGGTCTTAACTAAGCTTGTTTTGTTGAAATATGTCTTACATGTCCATTTTTCTTCATTTAGTCTTAATGCTGTTTCAAAAGCTAGTTTCTTGTCTGTTTGAGTTGAAGTAGCTAAATGTCTTTACTGTCTCTTTTATCAATTAAATGCATGCTTGCTAATTACAGGTCATTACATAAATACAGTACAATACAACACAATACAATGCAATACTGACCCCAAACTTTTGAATGGTAATGCATTTACTGTTCTCTAAAGTCTATAATTGGGTTTATTAAGATCAGTTGGTTAGCCGAGTTTGTTTCCATTTGTTTTAATGAGAGAACTGTTATATGAACATGAAGGCTTGTGCGTGTGTGAGGGGAAAACATGACACCTTGAATTCATCTTTTATGCTTGTATTCAGAGGCGCACACAGTTACAGGAGCAGATGAGTTTCCGCTATAAAGAAAGACTGAAGTGTCAAACTCTCCCCATCAAACAGGAGCAGGTACATGGCTGTAGAAAAGACGCATTGCTTTTACACTTATCATATAGTGTCCTGTGTCCTTCCTTGTGTAGTAAACAAGAAGATACTGTAGTCCCATGAGGTGATCATATAGTCTCCTGTGTACTTGTCTTCTGTTGTTAGTTTCCTGTTTGACTAGACGTGCTCATGCATCGGAGACTTAGAGGCATATCTTTCAACACTGCACTTTGGTGCTCTTTGTTTGCGTTTCCAGTTTGATTGAGACGAATGAGCCGAACGCTTTGCTTATTGTTCTGGTGCTTTGATATTCCTCGTTCTCAGATTGTAGAGGTTCAGATGTGGTTTTGATAGCTTTGTTAGACATTCCATGTGCATAGGAGGTCTGTGTGTTTGTTAAGTGTCACTAAAGTCACTGGGTTTGATTATCTATCAACTGTGTTTTTCTGCTTCTAATGGGTCACTGTTTGTTCTCTTAACACAACGTTCCTGTCTCTCATCACTACGGTTGTGTTTGTGTGTAGTAGGTGATTGGATGTTTGGATGGTATTATCAGGTTTTTTAATTAGAGGAGTGTGTGAGGTGTTGTATTTATGTGAACGTGTTTCTCCTCTCTTGTCTCTCTGAAGGCCAGCAGCGGGACTGAGGTCTTGAGGAGCTGCCCTAAGAAAACCATTCTCCTTTCTTCTTCCTCACCCTCATCTTCCTCATTCTCTTCATCGTTTCTTCCACACGCACAGGTGACACTCCTGTCTTGCTGTACTAACCTCAGCATCTCTCACAGGGGCTGGCTTTAACAGAATGCCTTCTATTGCAGTCTCTTGAAATTAGGTTTTTGGAGGCATTTAGACTTTATGGAGCAGAACTGTTTATCTTGATCAATGTATTGAGCAATCCTCCTGGCATATTCAAAAAAATGTTATATATACGTCAACAGTTTGATCTCTGTAAACAATTGTACAAAAAGCACACAGGAAAAAAAAAATATTGATAAACTTCTTGTTAAATATTGGTAAACTTCAAATACCCTTTAAGTACATGTAAGGAAAATAAGTGAAGACTATTTTGACACTATTATTATTATTTGACTTCATATATTCATCCATTTTTTTTTTTTTATAACATCATGCTCCATTGCTCCAATCTTTAGATGAGAAGTTCAAAAGCAAGTTCGACAGCAATTATTTTAAATAGAAATCTTTAAGGCATTATAAAGTGTAATTTTTAGTCATTTTTGATCAATTTAATGCGATTTTATTAAATTTAGTGTATTTATTAAAACCATGTTTTCAGACATTTTTTCCTGGTTTTAATATTTTTTAGCTGTGGTTAAATATTATATTTAGCATTTATTTGTAATAAAACATTTATCATTCAGTCAGGCTTGTCAGTTTTGAAAGTATGTAGTTGCACATCCTTATGAACAATTTACCTAAAGCTGAAATGGAATGTTTCGTGCAGTTCTGGAAACCCAAAAAATTGTCATTGTGTTTGATAAAGTTGAAATTGCATTTTGGTTAGCATCAGTTTAATGAAAATACTGGAATAGACCACCATGGCTTTTGTTGCATTTTTGTTTCAGAAATATGGGGCTGTTACCCTTCTAGTTTTGATTGTTCGTTTAGTCTGAGATCTCCTAGCTAATGATAGGGTGGAACTGATTTATGTCTGTTCTCTGCAGCATCATGTTAACCAGTCAGAGATAAACAAGTGTAATGGTGGTGGTGATGAAGAGAATGAGATCCAGGACCCTTCAATCTATTACAGGGTAACCATGACATCTGCATGGGGCTTTTCTCAAAACTTTGCTAAAAAATCTTTTGAAGATTTGTAACTTCCATTACATCTTCGTGAACATGCATGCATGTGTGTTTGCAGAACTACAGTTAACTTCACTAGATTTGCGGAATAAACATGTTATATTTATAACAATGTGTAATGTCAGTATATATATACATTTTTAGAATTAGAACTACAAAAACTTGCAGCACAAATGAGTGCCACAGATGTGATGTCAAAACCAAGAAGAATTATTCACCATGTGTTCCCTTGAGATTTTCCATGGGTTTTTATAATGGAGTTTTTCAATGTAGGAGTAAAATAAGGTCAGTAGTAAATATAAATTGATGATACTTGGACATTTTGCTCTACAACATAAATTACACGTACTGAAAATCTTTTTTTTTTTTCATGTTAAAAATGAACATAACCGTTTGTTTGTAACAAGTAACTACATTAGAATTAGGGAGTGTGTACAGTTTACATTGTACAACAAAATGTCCAAGTGTAAGTTATGTTTACCACAGACAGACTATATTTCACTCATGAATTGGAAAACTCGGTTATAAAAACCCAAAGGAAAATCTCAAGGGAACCCATAAAGTATTGGTCATCTGGGGTTTGAAGTCACAGCTGCAGCACTCTACAATACGATATGCAGATAAGCTTTCAAACCCAAAAAGAGTTTCATCAGCCTTTCCGTTTACAGGAAGATAACCTGCCTAATGTGGACAAGCCAGAGCCCATACATATCCCTAGCATTCAAGAGCGAATGGACACTCTAGTCGCTAGGTTTAAAGGCAAGCCTGACAGGAAGGACAAGCCACAGGTAGAGCAATTCAAGAGAAAAAAGCATGCTCTTAAAGGGATAGTACACCCAAAAATGAAAATTGTCATCATTTACTCACCCTCAAGTTGATCCAAACCTGTTTGAGTTTCTTTCTTCTAAGATATTTTGGTAACCAAAAAAAAACAGTTGCTGGTGTAGTAAATTACAGAAATTAAATTTTTTTTTCAACTTGGTCAAGAGCACAACTAGGTTAAAGACAATAATGACACCATGTCTTGAGTTGTGGCCTTGAGTTATCTTGAACATTTATGCTCTTCCTTTTTCCAAACATATTGAATTTAATAGTTATATTTTTATTCCCTCACGTCTACCTTTGTGAAGGTTATGAAAAAGCCGTCACAGTTCTTTATTGAGCAGTGGCTTTTGACCCACAGCCTCAGTCCTGAGCAACCCTTCTACCCTTCTGACCCCCAGCATCAGGTAGCCCTGCCTGAGCATGGAGAGATATGCATGGACGTCTCGTCTGTACCTTAAACACACAGTTCCTCTAACCTATGATGGTTTGAATGCTTTATACATAACTCTACACAAATAAAAAGGTCTTTCCTAATGGATTTTATTCACAGGATTGCAGAAAACTCTGATATTCCTTGTCCTAACGTTATGACTTAAGACTGCATCTCTCTCACAGCAGAGGGAGATTTTGCGTTCTGATGATCACGTGCCTTTACACATCGCCAGCATTCAGGAGAGAGCCGAGAGGTTAGCCTCTCAGTTTAAAGACAAACCAGCAAAGCCAAAGGTGAACTCTCAGCACCAGGTGTCCTTGAAAACGCACTTTTTTTTTTCATGTACAGCCTTAAACCGTTGATGCATTTTAGCAGTTAAGCGGTCTTTTGGCCTTATCACAACACAGATTTCACAAAAATGGAGTGGAAATTGTTTTCAAGAAATGTTCTAGCTTAAATAAAGCTCCTATTCATGTTGTGTTCACAGGTAAAACACTCCTTAAGTGTTGGTCAAATCACCGTAACATGCCCTCTTGTGGCTTATTGTTTTAATAAATAATCATTTTGGCAGCAGCAATTCAAAAGTTTTGGGTTGCTACTTTTTATGTTTTTAAAAGAAGTCTATTGTGCGCGCTAAGGCTGCATTTGTTTTCCCCCCCGTCAAAATACAGTATAACAGAAATATTATTACAGTGTAAAACAACTGTTTTGTATTTTAATGTATTTTAAAATGTAATTTATTCTTATGGCAAAGCTGAATTTTCAGCATCATTACTCCAGTCTTCAGGGCCACATGATCTTTTAGAAATCATACTAATATGCTTATTTACTGCTCAAGAAACGTTAATTATTATTATCAAAGTTGAAGTGTGTAAATTGTACACTTGCCGCATAGATTTGTAAATAGTATTATTGTAAGCACTGTTGTTATTTTTGGGTGCTGTCAGTGAAGGTTAACTTGTATTTAACTTGCAGTATTTCTTTTAAGATTGTAGACTTCTAGTTTGCTTTCTGCCTACCTATCTGCTGTTCCCGTCATCTTGCCTTTACATCCCTCATCTCTCTCTATGTCTCTCTTTCTGTCTCTACCTCTTTCAAAGTCTAAGAAAAAGGCGTCACACTTCTTCACAGAGCAGTGGTACAGAGCGCGTGATGTGAGCTCTGTTAGCCCTCTGCACTCTCCCAGCTCTTTCCGGCAGGTAGCAATGATGCATCTAATGACTGCTGTGTTCTGGAGTCGTGTGTTTGCATGGATGTGTTTCTGTAACACTTTCAAACGCACTCTGTTAATGGAGGAGAGCTGCCATTCTGTATATGTCTGAGTTGTCTCTCTCCAGTCTTCTCATGTGTGTATGTTTCAGTGTGTGAAGCTGAGAATATTGAAATACAACAAAAATGGACAAGTACTGTATGTTGCCGAACATTTTAACACAGCTGTATGCTGGATGTGACCTATATTCATGAGCTGCATAAAAGCTATTTTTGGAAACTGATCTGCATGTTCATACAACATTGAAATATTGAATTGAATTTAACATGCTTCAAGCATGATTGTTAAAGTCCAGGAAGAATATTTTGCTGCTACATAAGTTTGCATCTTCACATATGTTTAACAGTGTAATTTTATGTTGAAGACTTTTGTTTTAATTAACAGTTGTTGTTTTTTTGTACAACTTGACTGCTTCGTTTTGAATTGCTTTAAGCTGAATTATACCTACACAAATAACCATGCGAGAAAATGTTATTCTATTTTTTATAAAAATTTTATTCTTTAGTGTCTTGAAACACTCACATTCAAAAATTTGGGGTTAGTAAGATATTTTAATAGAAAGCTGAATTTTCAGCTTTTCAGCCATTACTCCATTCTTCAGTGTCACATAAACCTTCAGAAAACATTCTAATATGCTGATTTAAATGTGCTCAAGAAACATTCTTTTTATTATCAATGTTAAAAACAGTTGTGTTGCTTAATATTTTGGTGGAAATCCAAATTGAGTTTGTTTTTTAATTTAATTAATAGAAAGTTCACGTAGCCTCATTTATATTTGAAATATACATCTTTTGTAGCATTATGAATGTCTTCACTGTCACTTTTGATTAGTTTAATTGCTAAATAGAAGTATTAATTTATTTCAAATGAATCTTATTGACCCCAAACTTCTGAAAGTTAATGTATGTTTGCTTCTTAAAATATGTTATGAGGTAAAAGTGTAATGTTAGGTTGAACGTTTTATCTCAATTAACAGTTTTCCTTGTTACCCGTTTCTCACAACTTGACTGCCTTATTCTGTTTTAGCACTTTGAATTGCTTTGAGCTGAATTACACCTTGTGCCTTCTGCCATCTACACAAATAACCATGCAAGAACATCTGAATTTAACTTTTATTTATTTTTAATTTTTCATAGTCTTGAAAATTGCTACAGCATCTCACTCAGCTTTCAGCCATTTATGCTTTTAAAAACCTTTTTGTTCTGTTCACCACCTGTAGCGCTATGTAAAGATGTACTCAGGGGGTGTGAGCTCACTGGCTGAGCAAATAGCCAATCAGCTTCAGGCTAAGGACGACCCCAGGCCCTTGCTTGAGAAAAGGGATTTGGTAAGAATTATGGGTGTTGTTCACAAATGAGACTGCATAGCTCATTTTTGCTTTGGTACATGGCTAACTTGTAGCACTGAGAATCACCAACTCTGTGACCACAATGCATAAACCATGATTCAGTGCACTGGTAACTGGATCAAGACACTGCAGCAACGACAACCGGACAGGAATAACACCTATGAGATTCAATATAAGGCTAAAAAGTTGTTCTGTTTCGGCATTAAATCCATGTACTCTTATACTGCAACAGTTTTTGTTCCAAGAAAAATGATGTGAGAAAGGTTCACTGTATTGATGCTGAGCTGCAGATGAAACAGTGAACTGTTTTTCTTTCACTTGTCTTTAAACTACTATAGTAGTTTAGTATTTTTTTTATAATTTTGAAATTTTTTTTTTAATTTCTAAAATATTCCTAAATCTTTCATTTTTATAATTTCTAAATGTACATAATTTAAAAAATTTTAAAGTTATTTTTATATTTTATTTTAAAGGATGTAGTGTCAGTATTGGGAAATAAGAACACCTAGTTGTGTTGATTTACACAGATGTGATTATTTTAGTGTCTTTCATGCACCTAACTTTACACAAGAATTGGGTCTTCAGTTCCTCGAAGCACAGACGATCATAAATTATTTTGGTGCATGCTGTCTCTCTTTTGGCAGATTTTTAAGCACTTTGGTGCCACTCCTTGCTCTCCCTTAAAAAAAGACTCGCTTCTATGTCTTTCTCTCTGCAGGGTTCCTTGCGGAAGGAGTTCCCTCAGAATATTGGAGGCAGCGATGTGTGTTTCTTCTGTCGGAAGCGCGTCTATGTGATGGAGCGTCTCAGTGCAGAGGGAAAGTTTTTCCATCGCAGCTGCTTCAAGTGCGACTACTGCGGCACCACCCTCCGGCTGTCCTCCTACGCCTTCGATGTTGAGGATGGTATGAAATCCAAGCAGAAATAAAATCCCTCCTGATCATGTTATTCATACTGTAGCTACTTATAGGTTACCATCATTTTTTTCCTACATTACATTTTTTATTGTTCATTAACTTAAAGGATTAGTTCACCCAAAAATGAAAATTCTGTCATTAATTACTCACCCTCATGTCGTTCCAAACCTGTAAGACCTTCATTCATCTTCGGAACACAAATTAAGATATTTTTGATGGAATCTGAGAGTTCTCTGACCCTGCATTGACAGCAACACAACTGAAATGTTCTCAGACCCAGAAACGTAGTAAGGACATCGATAAAACTGTCCATGTGACATCAGTGGCTCAACTTCAATTTTGCAAAGCTACAAGAATACTTTTTGTGCGCAAAGAAAACAAAAATAACAATTTATTCAACAATTCTACTCCCCGAGTTAACATCCTCCGCCATTTTTGAGGGTACCAAGTAGGGGTGTGCGATATTGACAAAAAATAATATCTCGATATTTTCTGGGATTTTATCGATGACG